GCCAGAGTGTGCAGAGAGAATGTATAAAAAGTTAAGCAATCGACGAAGATTTAGAAATGAAGTTTTGTTAGGAACGGAGTACTATCGGGGCGTCTAGGCCGGTTTAATAATCACTTTGTGTATGCTTAGTTTATAGTATAAGTGCGTGTTCTCAAACAGTAGGCCAAGGAATATATCGCTTCATCCGAAAAAGTTGACTTGAATCATAGAGCCGTGTACAGTAGCTCTGTTGCGCTCTGAGAGTGCGCGGAATGGGTTCCGAAGGCTTGATGGTTGGGCTACACAATCCTCGCAACTCGGTGCGGAAATCCTTTCTGTTCTAAGGATGCCATTCGGCTGAGCAACTCTCGTATGTCGAGTCGTATTTGTGGTCGAAGATAACCTTGCGAGACTCATCAGGCAATCCGATAAAGACGACCGAGCAAGTGGCCGAAAACGGACGCTGGAATACACACTGTGCAGCGAGCCAGACTACGTACCTTGACATGGTTGTGCGTGGAGAAGTGGGGCAATCTAACCATGACGGGTGCGACAGTCCCGCTGCGCCTGCTTATCACGTCGATAACGAGATCGTGAACACTGGCTTTGACTGTTGAGATGCTTGCAGCTGGATTGCGAGACGATACGATTGGCGAGCAGCTGGTGGCTTCGATCGGCGTGTCTTGGAGCGATGCATTGCTTATTGCCCCACCCAATCCGTCCAGCCAACTGCTATAAGACGACCTCAAAGCTCATGAAGCTGTTGGCAACACCGACTGTTCACAACTCTCACAGCATCGTCAATCCACCAAGTCATGTCGCTCGACAGGTTGAAGCAGGCTGCCTCTCATATCACTGGCATTGGGGCCCCTCCCCATCCTTTCGACCCCCTCAGCGAATCGGAGATTGAACAGGCGGTTGCCATCATCCGCAAGGAGCACAACGATGTCTTCTTCAACGCCATCACATTGTGGGAGCCCCGCAAAGCAGAGATGATGAAGTGGCTCAAGGAGCCTGACCATACGCCGCGACCACATCGAGTTGCTGACGTTGTTTGCATTGGCCGCGGTAGCAAAGTGTTCGACGGGCAGGTGGATTTGACCGAGGGGAAGATTGTTAGCTGGGCATTGACTGATGACGTGCAACCACTGGTGAGACTGTGAGTTGATTTACAGATGCACAGTATGTTAACTGTATGTTCAGATTACCATGGAAGATCTGCAGATTGTGGAGACAGTCGTCCGAAAAGATCCCAAGGTCATCGAGCAATGCGGCATCATTGGCATTCCGCCAGAAGACATGCACAAAGTATATTGTGATCGTAGGTTCTCCTCGACTAAACTAGAAAGATCGTACTCACTCAAATTAGCATGGACCATTGGCTACGATGAGCGTTTTGGCACAAAAGTCCGTCTCCAGCAAGCACTCATGTACTACCGTCCCCACCCGGACGACAGTCAATACACCTATCCCCTTGATTTTTGCCCTATCTACAATGCCGACACCCAGGAAATCATTCACATTGATGTACCACCCGTCAGGCGGCCGCTTAACCGCGCGCCACCAAACAATTACCATGCCTCCGCTATCGAGGCTGAGGGTGGGTTCAAAACTGACCTGAAGCCTATCAACATTACACAACCCGAAGGAGTTTCTTTCAAAATGGACGGACGGTACATTAGCTGGGCCAATTGGAAGTTGCACATTGGCTTCAACTACCGCGAAGGCATAGTCCTGTCAAACATCACATTCAACGACAAGGGCACCGTTCGTGATACATTCTGGCGCCTCTCACTCGCCGAGATGGTCGTTCCATATGGAAATCCTGAACACCCGCACCAGCGCAAACACGCCTTCGATCTCGGCGAATACGGAGGTGGTTACATGACGAACTCGCTGAGTCTTGGATGTGACTGCAAGGGAGCGATTCACTACATGGATGCTGCCTTTGTCAATCGCGCCGGCCAACCAACGACCATCAAGAATGCCATCTGCATTCACGAGGAGGATGCAGGTATTCTATTCAAGCACACTGATTTCCGCGACGACAGCGTGACCGTAACCCGAGCGCGCAAGCTGATCATCTCGCACATCTTCACTGCTGCAAATTACGAGTACTGTGTATACTGGATTTTCCATCTGGACGGAACTATTCAGCTTGAGATCAAGCTCACGGGTATCTTGAATACGTATGCTATGCTTCCTGGCGAGGACCTCAAAGGCTGGGGCACAGAAGTGTATCCGGGTGTCAATGCACACAACCATCAGCATCTTTTCTGCATGCGTATTGATCCAAATATTGACGGACCAGAAAATACCGTCTTTATGGTCGATGCAGCACGAGGCGATGGAGAGGTTGGGAGCGCGGAGAACAAATATGGCAACGCCTTTTACGCAAAGAAGACGAAACTCAGTACCCCGGAGGAAGCAGCGACAGATTATAACGGCGCAACGAGCAGGACATGGGAAATGGCCAACACCAACAAATTGAACCCATACAGCAAGAAGCCAGTCTCCTATAAGCTGGTCAGTAGAGAGGTTCCGGAATTGCTACCGAAGCCTGGTAGTTTGGTATGGAAGAGAGCAGGCTTCGCAAGACATGCCGTGCATGTAACCAAGTGTAAGTTTCTTGGTAACTTACTCAAAACATGCGCCGGATACTGACAGATATTGCCTAGATGACGATAGCCAGATTCACCCAGCAGGACGCCATGTCCCTCAAACTTCTGGCGAGCCCTCGCAAGGAATTCCAGCCTGGATTAAAGCGAACCCAAACGAGAACCTCGACAACACTGACGTTGTCCTATGGCACACGTTTGGTATCACGCATTTCCCCTCTCCAGAGGATTTTCCCGTCATGCCGGCTGAGCCCATGACACTGCTATTGCGACCTCGCAACTTCTTTACCCGTAACCCATGCCTCGATATCCCACCTAGCTACTGCAGCGTACCAAGTGGGGTGAGGCAGGGCAATACGCTTGTAGATAAGCTGAGTCGAATGGCGTTTGGAGAAGAGAAGAAGACGGAGGCTCCACCAGCAACATGTTGCTCTGACCAGAAGTTTGGGGTAGGCATCTAAGATTGGAGCTCTGGGAGAGTTATGATAAGTGTATATGTAATGTTATAACGTGAAAGAAAAATATTCTACTACGGATTTGACATGTCTTGTGATAGTCTAGAGATAAGTATGATGTTTTCTCCGTGGCCCCCGTGGCCCAGCCTTGAGCATCGTGCCGATAGGCGTTGAATCACAGAATAATGTCTTGCCATGCTAGTTCAGCTCACAGGGAAGCCCTGATTGCATATCGCATGCCACAAGCTGCAAGTTGCATGGGCTGCGGGACGGGTAGCCATGCGCCGATGACGTCCCTGGTTCCGACGCCGGGCCCAAGCTTTCACCGAGTCCACCGCCGTCTTTTCCCCTCCATGCTCGCCAATGCGGACATGACAGTGAAAGATCTACGTCGACGCAATGATATAGCATAGGAACCCTTCATCTTGCATCCTACTTATCCAGCACCTTCAGCGTCGCCTCCTGTACCCGAGGATGTTCTGGGAGGAATCGCAAATCCAACACTCAAACCAGCAATGCCCCGCGCATTCCCACCAGTAGAGCAAGATGTTCACAGCAAACGATCAAGTGCGCCGCAAAGCGTCCTCTCCGCATCGGTGATCGAAAGTGTAGCAGGCTTCAGCGCTGGAGTTGTGTCCTGTCTCGCGGCGCATCCACTCGATCTCCTCAAAAATCGCCTCCAGCTCAATACCACCAGCAGATCGCGGCCCGGAGACTCGTTCCGCATACTGCGGAATGTAATCCAGGATGAAGGTGGCGTAAGAGCTTTATACAGGGGATTATGGCCAAACCTGCTAGGCAACAGTCTTGGATGGGGGCTGTATTTTCTTTTCTACGGAAACTTGAAAGAGCTGTTCCAGAGCCGACGACAAAAGGGTGAGCACCTTGGGAGCGCCGAGTTCTTCTCCGCAAGCATCATTGCTGGTACGTTTGGCTCTCACATAAGCTGTGAACGTAGGCTGACCACTTGTTCTAGGTCTACTCACCGGCGCTTGTACCAACCCCATCTGGGTAGTCAAGACCCGCATGCTTGAACGAGGTGCCAACCATCCTTCTGCATATAAGTCCATGGCTGTTGGACTTCGCCATGTATACGAGACGCGTGGACTGAAGGGCCTCTGGGCAGGCTTCTTGCCCTCTTCACTCGGTGTTCTACACGGTGCGGTTCAATTCAGCATCTACGAAAACATGAAGAAGAGAAGAGCCACACACATTGGCGGGCAAGACAAACTCAGCAACTGGGAATACGTGTACATGAGTGGTGGAAGTAAGCTGCTTGCCGGCGCCATTACGTATCCATACCAGCCTATTCGGGCGAGGCTGCAACAGTATAACGCCGCACAGAAATATAGTGGCTTACTGGATGTCTTGAGGAAAACGTATCGGAACGAGGGGTTCCTGGCGTTTTACAAGGGCGTCATCCCTAATACACTTCGCGTCATTCCGACTACGATTGTCACATTTCTGGTGTATGAGAATACGAAGTTGTACCTTCCCAAAGTCTTTGCGGACGATGAGCAGCAATTTCATGAAGAAGATTAGACATTACGACGAGCTGGGTTGGCGGGTTCGGTGCGGTTTTACAATTGTACTGTACTAGGTGCTACACTATACAAGTGGATGAAGTAGATGATGCCCTGGCATACATTGCTTACCAATAAATATTCCATTTGCATTCCATGTGTAGCAGTAGTGGAGAATACAATACGAACATGGATCAGCGCTAGACAATGCGATAGACGTAAGCAAATCCAAATACTCCAGACACGTGTTAGCGCGTCTTCTTATCGATAGAGGAATTGTTCCCCGGGCCAAACTGTCCTCATCGTCTCGGACTCCACACGCCCACCACTTGCGCAACTTGAAAGGCCACACCCCTCCTAACCGTACTCGTTTCCTTTACCAGGAGTTACAATTGCAAAAAAAAGAAGGCACCAAGACTCGCACCATGGAATCCCTTGAAACCTTCACCCTCCTCCCCCTCGAACTCGACCCCGCAACGCACTCCATCATCGCCCCCCAAAACACCAGCAACGTGGTGGAAAAAGAGCTCGAAGCGCTCAACAATCTGCACCGCAACCTTGTGCACGTCGAGACGCCGACGGGCACGCCTCCGCCCCCAGTCCCCGTCAACCCCAAGCGGTCCGCGCAAATCGGCAAGCTGCGCGAAAACGGCAACGCCGAGTTCCGCAAGGGCAACCACGATGCCGCCGCCAAAATGTACACGCTAGCCATCGACATGGCGCTTGCGCGTCCCGCCTGGGAGCCCTCTGGCCTGGTCCGCGAAGAAGTCTCGGGACTCCTGAGTAACCGCGCGCAAGCCAACATGGCGCAGCAGAAGTGGGCCGAGGGCGCGATAGACGCCGAGGCGTCGGTGGAGATGAAGAAGGTGGGCAATGCGAAGGCGTGGTGGAGGCGGGGCAAGTGTCTGCTGGAGATGGGCCGCCTCGAGGAGGCGGAGACGTGGGTGAAGCAGGGGTTGGAATTTGAGGCTACGGAACAGGATCTTGTGAGTTTGAAGGCGGAGATTGAGAGGAAGATTAGGGCGAAGGCTTAGATGTGTTTGTGTGTGTGTGTGTGTGTGTGTGTGTGTGTAGTTATAGGGTTGTGGAGAGAGAGGCATTGCTGGGCGTTTGGAGTGAGTAGATGGGTTCCTTCTTTTTTTTCTACGGTGCATGTATTTGTTGTATGATGCTTATACACCGGTGATTGTTGTTGTTTTGTTCATTTCGACTTGCGTTATACAATACAATTCACACGGTAATTCACAACTTCAGACAAAAAGTCCCTTGCGCGTACAGAAGATACAGATCTATTTCTTGAAGCGCAAAATGCCGGGGAGGAGGAAAACAAAAGAGAGAGGGCAGAGAGACATCGCTAAATCGCATACACATAACCCATCAAAAGGAGCGAAACCTCCATGCAACGAAAGCCTTAATCCCGTATCTCCTAGATCTCCCTCGTCGCCAGAAACACAGATGCTCCCCCTTCCTAAAAAAGAATCCAAATCGCTAAACAATGCCTCATAAACCAAAGATCCGCTGAGAGAAAAAGATATCTGTTAAATGTCCCTTTTTTAAACTTGTTCCAGGATGCAAGTAAAACAAGATGCAATTGTTACACCCGTTCCGGACCGCCGCTGAAACTATACCCGCTCCCCGTATGACTAGGCTGTCTATCTATTCCACTGAGGCCCGTGAATGGCGCGAGACCCGGCGCAGTCTGGCTCCTGTACTCTTCATACCCACTCGGGCTAAGTGCATCGGCGCCAGCAACAACACTGGGACCTCTGCTGTGGGTGCTATAATCCGCATATGGGGGCGCAGTTCGTCCGGCGCCCCAGCTAAGTGGGCGACCGGGATGGCGTCCTTCGTCTGTTTCGGTGGAGTGGAGCAGGGCGTATTCGTCTTCTTGCTGGTTGCCGCCGTGTTCGGTGCGCTGGTCGAGCGAGTCGGAGGAGTTGCGGCCGTGGGCGGTTTCGATTTCGGTGGACCAGGCGGCGTCTTTGGGGTTGTTGTAGGCGGAGTCGCCTGAGGCGTAGTGCGGGTTTGAGGATGAGGATTGGTAGGGCATTTCACCTTCGCGGAGGAACTTGTGCAGGTAGTAGGCGGAGATGCCAGTGGTAAGGGCGAAGAAGAGGCTGGTGGGGGGTGTCAGTCCGGGTGGGGAATGTGTGGGAGCTGGTGCTGCTGCTACTGCTACTTACAAGACCATGACACCTACGCCGACAGCTGCCTTGCTGACCTTGCACTTTGCCTCGTCACCGTAGATGAACGTTGTGCAGTTGCGCTTGTCATCTGGGATCTTGGCCTTTGCGGCGCCTTCCTTGATGCCCTCGGAGTTCCACATTGCGACTGAAACAAAGGCGGCAAACCAGAGAATTGTATACAGGACGTCGACGGCGAGGAAGGCATAGGCCGAGGCAAACTTTTGGGCGCGGGACCACATGGGAACCATTGTGAGGTAAATAATGGCTGGTATGGAAAGGAAGCACTGTTTTGGGGTATTGTTAGGTCGGGTCTCAGAGGTGGTGTGTCGAGTCCAACTGACCATTACGAAAAAGTATCTAGTAGCTCCTCCGATGTCTCCATCTTTGGTCATGACGGCTATGGTCAAGCATGCTGCGACAAAGACGAATACAGCCTGGAAACAGTGTGCTACGACCTTGCATTTCTGGATATACGACTGTGGTATCCGCATCTTGTGGTATGTGTAGGGTGTGGGTGGTGGAAGCTACTACAAACGTCTGTCGCTGGAACTATCGCCGTCGCCCTTTGCTCGAGGAGGGAGAGGAGGCCAGGCTGTAAACACTGCAGACTGTAAACACAACAGGACTAAGCAAGTCAGCCCTGTAGCGGCGAAATACGTGGGTACGGCGATCGGAACGGCCGGCGGTGGGAGCCGAGTAGTTGCGAGCGGCCTTGTCGTGGGTGGCCGTTCTGGACCAAACGGTGCACCGAAGCGGTAGGAAATCGGGCAGGCAAGAAACGATGAGGATGGATGTAAAGACTGTGGTCAGGAGTCGGCGTGCAGAGCGAGGGGCAGTGACAGGAGATTGGAATTGCGAGGCTCTGGTTGTGAGACACATGCAAAGTCTCAGCCTCAGCTTGGGGGATCCACCACTGTTGCCAGGCGCGTCCCCACTACGCGACGTCTGCCGACTACGGCTACAGATGCAGGGTTGCTGTCTAACCGGGCAACGCACCTTTTGGTTGCGTTGCTTGCCTTGGGCCCGCCGCCATCAAGCCCTATTAATAGCATGCGAGAGAGCGAGCCGCTCACACTCTCGATGGACAAAAAGAAAAGGCCGTTGCTGGCCGTGGGTGCGATGACGCTGCCATGACGACGACGGCCGGAGATGGGCCACATGTTCCTGCAGAGACAGCAGAGAGGGCCGCCGCCGCATTTTGGGCACATGCACATGGTCTGGTGAACGCTGCTTTTGCTTTTGCCCATCTCGACCATGCTCTAGCAGAGTGTCGACGAGATCAGCGGTGAGTGGGTAGGGTAGGTGGATGGGCAGGCGGGCGAGGCGCATGTGGCGCACGCCAGTCGGCCCATCAGACACGGGACGACGCTGCCTCAGCACCGCCACAGCGCAGCCGTGGCATTGCCTCTCTGCTATTTATTACCACAGCATCAGCTCAAGCAAGCTGCAGCCCAAGCCGTCGCACATCTCATCAGCGACCATGGTCATCGTCATCATTGGTTGAGATGACTTTCGATACAACAACAACAACAACACTTGGCACCACAGCGTTGAATCAGTCAAGCCTGGGTCTGGATCTGGGCCTGAACCAAACGTCTTTCGCGCCGCCTACAATCTCCTCGAGCTAGGCAAGCAGGCCACTCTCCGCCGGCTCCCACTATTGTCTGCAAGCGAGGCTGGAATCTCTGCCAAATCCACGCACAAATCCCGCCCCTGATATCTCACCTTGTCATGTATGAGCTCAGACATTCAACAATCCTTTTTCAGTGCAGCAAAAGGGACTGTGTGCTATCGACTGGCGTCACTGTCATCATGCTGTCCAACTGCATGCCTGGCTCGCCCACCCCAGTCGCGTCGTGATCCGACGTCAACCTCTGCATGTGCGATGACTGACGGAAATTGCTATCGGCATCTATTTAGGAGGCGCACAAGGAAGAAACTCATGCGCCCTTCAGCCTGATGCCCTGGTGATTAGTTGGCATGCTTTTGCTGCCTAGATTTCTTTCGGAAAATGCGCATCGGCTCGCGCGAACAAGATGCGCTGTGTACCACGGGTTCCGCGACATTGCACAGCTCATCAAGTCTGCTGCAGCGCCGGTAGCATGTGTCCTGAAAGAGCGAGGAGAGCCAACCACTCAACAAACAAAGTCGTGGCAGGACAAAGTCACGCGAGTATGTAAGCGTGTGTGTGCGTGCACATGCAATGCAGGAAGACGGTCCGTCAGTATGAAAACGAAGCCCGACAAAACCCACGGTTCCAGCTCGTCTCGGTTCAGGCCACCCCTGACATTCCCCCTCCACCCACGTGGCTCGGCACCATTACGGACAGCGGATTCTAGAGACAATCGTCCACCACAGACTACCCGTGACGTTTTGTGAACGCCATCAGAAAGGCTACAACAACGTCTCAGTCAATACGAAGCTCTACAATCACGTCTACCGTACCCGGGCATCTACCTGGCACCTTTCCCCACTTGAAAACGTAGCCCCTCACGCGCAGTAGCTCATACTAATCATTAATCCCCTTGCAGACCAAAACCATTTTATGTTTTGTAATCATTAATTCGATGCGAGAAAAATGTGCCAATACCTCAGCAGAGCGTCGCCTTGTATTTTACTTGTTCCCCCAGGGCATGTTCAAATTTTCTCCTAATCTCTGATCAAAACATCAAGGCCTACCATTTCGTGACTGGAGCAGACTTCTCTCACACTCGCAGCCAGATGACTTCCAGTTTCCGCAACATTATTCCCTCAGATCGCTTCCCTGTGGAAAGGGGCCGTTATGTCTTGTACGTCAACTACGTCTGCCCCTGGGCCCACCGATCCATCATCATCCATGTGCTGAAGAAGCTCCAAGACATTGTTGAGCTGGTCGAAGTAGATGCTCGGCATTCAGTCCACGGCTGGTCCTTTTCAGGGCAAACCGGACCAAGCGAAGACCCTATATACGGCGTCAAGACCTTAAAAGAAATCTATCAAAAGGCAGATCCTCATTATGACGGGAGAGTAACTGTCCCCCTGTTGTGGGACAAGCAGCATGGTAACCCGGCTTTGACACTACAACCAATGGCTCCAGTCTGATCATGCCCAGGCACTGCCGTCAACAACGAAATCACGGATATCACTCGCATGCTAATCGACGGCTTTGATTCTCTCCTGCCGCCCGAGCAACGTGAGGCAAACAAAGGCATTTCAGCCTTCAGACCATCACACCTCGTTCCTGAAATCGACGCTCTCAACTCCTGGATCTACGACACGGTAAACAATGGCGTTTACAAGATTGGGTTTGCTACATCTGTGCAATCGTACAATGAGCACCTAAGACAGCTCTTCGAGACCTTGGATCGTCTTGAAATCTATCTTTCACAACCCAAGCACCATCCCTATCTTTTCGGACAGAACATTACCGAGTCGGATATCTATCTTTTTACGACACTGATACGATTCGACGTGGCGTATTACCCCTACTTCAAGTGCAATCTGAGAATGATTCGCCGCGACTATCCCTGCCTGCATACTTGGTTGAGGCGGTTGTATTGGAATACCGGCCCGGAAACTTGCGGTGGTGTGTTTAGATCTAGCACAAATTTTGACATGGTAGGTCGCGGTTCTTCACATGAGAATGCGATGAAAACTGAGATTACAACAGATTGCCAGAGGATACAGTTCCGCGGTTGGAAGAAGTGCCGACCCAAAAGTAGTTGTTCCACCAATAATGCCGTTATGAATTTTTGTTGCTTCTTTCAATGTTCAAACACTGTTTCTGTGTGAGGGTTTCGCATAACTTTCCAGTCCCTACAAAGAGTTGTCATTTTTACATATCACCCCTATCTTTGTACGACATTTGTTCGCGACCAACTCGGACAATTTTTTTTTCTCATTTCTTTGAACGATAGCTTTTCCTTGTCGTCTTGAGAGACATGAAGCTGTTGCGTAGTGATTATGTCCACTGAGCGAAATGTATTCCTCAGGTACTCATTCTATAAGCAGACTCGTTCTGCGGCAAAGGTCTCATACCGAACACTACCCACAGTCAAAGTCAGGCGCGATATCTTAAATTCTCAAATTAAGCTTTTATCGGGTTTGGCTCGCAGTGCCTCGCTCAAGGTTCTAAGAAGCCAGTTTCCACTACATGGAAAAAAGTCCCGTAGCGTCACAAAGCGACACCTCCCAACCCTATACCAATCGTGATATTCCCTCTTCGGCCCCTCGCAATTCCCCAATCTTCCCTCTTCCCTACTTCAACTATAATACAAAACCAGCAGTACTCATGAATAACATACCCACATACCCCACTCTCCCCCGATTGGCCATGGTAAACATATCCGTGTGCCTGCTATCGCCCAGGATCTGCAACTGAATCGCTATAACAACCCTATATGTGTCCGTGCTTGACAGCAAACGAGCCCTGTCCCTGTAACATATCCGCCTATCATACAACGTTCAACGTGTTATCATGTCATGAGAGTATGCACTCGAAACATTGCAATAATGGATATGCGATATCGACGTTGGGCAGAAAGAACAAAGAAAGGCACTAATGGCTAATTGGCAGGTTAAAGTGCAATGGTCTGTATCTGCGTTATCGAAATCTTTTTTTTTTTTTTTTGCAATGGAGAGATTTCTGCTCGTGGTGTTGGTTTTGCTGGGCTATCGGGTAAACAGTTCCTTGAGTGCACGAATTAAACCCCAAAGCTACGATTTCAACAGCCAACCAGCAATGCAAAAGTCCTACTCGAGGAAAAAAAATATCATCATGTACTTGCTACAGTAAATAAAGAAGAGGGGATATCAAAGCCCAATACAACCGTACAAACCTCATCCTACTGCTCGCAAATTTTCATTTTCCCATCCCAAAACACATTACCCATCTTCTATCGCGTGTGGGTAAAACATAACCACGCTACAATCAACCGCACGGTAGATAACTATCTAAAACGACTCCAAAATATTGCTATAGTGTACCAAGGTAGAGCTTTAAAGTATTGAATATTATTTAGCATCGGCAACTATGCGCAAAAAGCCCCGATTTTGTGGTGATTTTTGGTATTATTGCATCGCGGTTGATGGGGCGGCCCATTTTCCAGCTATTTTGGTTCCGCGAGAGCCCGTGTAACAGCACTCTAGTTACGACGAAGGTAGTAGCATAGCGAACTATGGTTGCGATGAATGCAGCAGAATAGCGAACTATGGTTGCGATGAAGGCAGCAGAATAGCGGACTATGGTTGCGATAAGACAATGAACTACTATGGTTGTAACAAGAACACATTGCACAAAGCGCTCCTGTGCCTATATATTCGCCATATCGTCTCATCTCATCGAAACTATCTACTATACTTGCTTCGTGATTATTTACTTATTAGAGAAGAGTGATACCGAAGTGTCTGGGCGCGTTGCCTAATCCCTTCTCGGGCGGTGAGCAGAGTCCAGGCGCTTTAGACAACACTCGCCCCAGAAAACAGGCATTCGCGTCTTCCCCGCGCCACCTCTCTGCACCTTTGCGCAACCCAGCCCACGCCATGGATCAAGTCAACCTCCAGGGCCACGGCCAGCAGAAGATGCGCCCGGCCACTGCTGCGCCCCGCAAGTACGACGGCCAGCAGGGCAACCCGCTCTACGACCCTGCTAATGGCGGTCACTATGGTACGTCGATGCAGCTCCAGCCGGCGCATTCCCCGTTGACCGCTTGTGCTAACACAATCCTCCAGGCGCATCCGCAGCTGTATGTCTTCTTGCACCTCTATAGCTCTCCCGAGTTTCCCGTCGCTGATATTTGGTCCAGATTGCCGCGCAAAACCAAGCTCCAGACCCGCAGCTCTTCACCGGTTCCTGGCAGAATGTACGCACCCAACGCCCAAACGCCTACGGCGCCCGGCGTCTCCGTAGCTAACACTTGTAGGTGAACCAAGGCCTCACGGGAAACTACCGCGACATCCTCAACACGTACTGGCAGCAACAAGTAACGAAGCTCGAGACGGACGAACATGACTACAAGCTGCACCAGCTCCCACTCGCCCGCATCAAGAAGGTCATGAAGGCAGATCCCGAGGTCAAGATGATCTCTGCCGAAGCGCCCATCCTATTTGCCAAGGGATGCGACATCTTCATCACCGAACTCACGATGCGTGCGTGGATCCACGCCGAGGAGAACAAACGTCGTACTCTGCAGCGCTCCGACATTGCCTCGGCACTGTCCAAGTCGGACATGTTTGACTTTCTTATCGATATCGTCCCTCGTGAAGAGGCGCATCCACACAAGAGGAGCGCGGGCCAAAACGCGGCCGTGCAATCGTCGGCTGCAGTGGTTCCCCCCGGCGGCATGCCTCAGCCTGTGCACGCCCAGCACCCAATGGCTCCTCCCGACTACGGCATGAACCAACACCTTGCCCAGCAAGAGGACTACCGACAATCATCCATGTACCCAGGACCTGTGCAGGGCGACCCGAGCGTGTATGCGCAGCAGGGCATGTTTGATCCCAACGCGTATGGCCCATACGGCGCCATGGGGCAGCAGCCTCAGATGTATGCAGTTGGCCAGCGCGGGCCAGATCCCAATGCCGGCGACCCACAGGGATTTGGTCGGTATGGCGAGGCTGACGCTGATGATGATGCTCAGGGCGAGCGCGTGGACGCGGACAACTAGTGCTTGGCCGAGCCTCTGGCCCTTAGTGATGGCTGGGCGTAACGCTTGCACGACGGAGTGCGCTGTTGTGCGCTGTTGTTAGATTGATCTTGGATATGGCGTTTAGGTACGATGTTTGGGCACACGGCCGCGGAATAGCTAGAGCGCTTGACTTTTTTTTCTCTATCTGTTTGCTATAGCGTATTATTGTAGGGGGCTGCGCTCTAACAGCTTAGGCAGCGAGGCCTCGGTCTATCCTGGTACCTGTACGGAAGTCGCTCCCAAAAGTTCTCGCCAGGCCAGAGGAGCTCGGTTAGAAGTTCTTGCTAGCGCTATGACAATCAGTTCGATATATTCTTGGCGCTAATCTGGTGGTTTTTTTTTTAGCTAACTGTGATAAAGCTGTAGATAGCTAAGGGCCTGTTCGGTTGCGCGGTTGCGTTTTGCGTTTTGCGTTTTTGTTACCAGATTTGGGCTAAATTTTTGAAGACGATACTGTGCTCGGTAAAGCGTAACCTAAATCTGGCAATAAAAACGCAAAACGCAAAACGCAACCGCGCAACCGAACAGGCCCTAATACACTATATAGAAGTCGCTTCTAAAGGTTCTCGCTAGGCTTAGTTAACTCGTAGAATCTAGATACTACGCTAAGCTTAGCTCTACTGGAAGCCCTCCCTAATATTATAACAAAGCTACCCTATAGGTCTAAGGTTCGATTCTAGAGAGCTGCTAGAGCTACTAGAGGCTAGAGCTCTCACCTACCTATCTATCTACCTGTCCTATTAGAACCTCAGCTCACACGCTAGCGTAGGGGCCCGCAGTACTTAAGGCTTATTCTTAACTAGCGTGGACGCTCGGCGTTAAGAGAGGAGTGATATTACGGTGCGAGTCCATATACTATGAACGTAAGCTTAAGCATCAGCTACGCAGACAACAAAGGAGCTTTGTTGTCTTATGCCTGCCTTTTGGCAGCGTGGTAGGCGCGTGTAGCTGCGTGCTCGGCTCCGCTAGGAGCCCTCCCTGACATGTG